TCGAGAAATCAATGTGTTTCCCTTAATTATCTCGCGCTTTAAAATCTAAAAACCATCGAAAAGTTTGAGAATAAATTTCGCGAAGTTCATGCGGTTTGTTTTTTTTTTTTTTTTTTTCACAAAGATTTGACTCGAAGTGCTGATAGGGTATTCTATTTCACCTGTCACGAATCTTCGGGCGCGATTGTAATAACGCGCTTAGTAACCATCCGTATCCATATGACGTCAAGTGACAGAGAACGCAATTACCGAGAGTCGCGTGAAAAAAAAAAAAAAAAAAAAAAAAAAAAAAAGAGAAGCGGCATGAACACGTCGACAAATCCAGCTTTTCCTCAACTCACTGAAAACGAATGGCTCGCAATTTGCTGAAAGGCTAGTCGTCTATAAATCGATGAAAATTGTCTGAGTTATACTTCCATTCTCTGTCTCTCTCTTTCTTTCTCTCTCGCGAGTAATCTCAATTCGCAAAAAGTTTTTCTTGCCATTGAATGTAATCTTTTATATTTCGTTCTGGGATAAAAAACTCTTTTTGCGTTACGCTTCCTCGTTAAACTCTCTTTTGGGAACAATTATCGCGCGCGCGACATGCAAATTAGCAAAGTCTCGAAACGAGAATTCTTTTCAAAAGTCTCTGACTAATGTACGCGAAATATTACGGTTGCACAGACCGCAAACAGTGCGCGCTATATCAAATGTTCACGTCGTTGGTGACAAAGCAAGACACAAGACTTACAAGAGGAAGCGTCGCAAGCGCATCTTATAGATGGTGGTACACGGAACTTAATCCTTATCGTTACAATCTTTTATCCCGATCTCTTAAGTGCTCTCTCGACATATCTCCCGGAAAATATTCGCTGTTCATTATCTCTGGCGAATGATGCGCGCGGATTCACTGGCGCAACCAACAAAAGGACAATTCTTGATATCTCGCGCTCGCCTGAGCGAGCACTTGCTTTAATTAATTTTGTAGCGGCACAACTAAGACCGAAGAGCTTATAACGAGCTTTTCCATGCACTCCAGAGAGTCCTTCTCTTTGGCTCTCCCGAAGAGAACTCATCCCCCTTATGTATATCGTCACGGTTGTCTTTGTATATCGAGATTCGACCGAGTATCCACTAAACACACACACACGTACACACACACACACACACGTACACCTGTTCTAAGATCACACAAGATCATATTGTTAGAGCGGTGCGGGCAAGAGACCGCTTCAGACCCGAGCGGTATCTCAGTGGAAAAGCTAATGAAGTGCAAAGTTTTCCACTATCAACTTTTACTCGTTCGCGCGTCCGCGTTTAATTACAGTTTACAATCCTACCGTCCCCGTTTAAACATCAGATCAACAACTTAACTCTCTTTTCTCTATTGATTTCCCGCGATAAACTTTCTTATACGTTTTTTGTCATTAAAGGTATAAACAAAGAAGAATTTTTACACTGCCAATAAAAGGATTTGTCTCACTTTGTTTGTGGAAACTATATATATATATATATATATAAGTACGGGAGAGCAACGCCTGGCTTTCGCCACGGTCTGTATGTATCAGATCTTGCGAAGATGCCAAAGCTGCGGAGCTATGTCGGCGTCTTAAAAGTTTAGCACTCGGTGTTCCGAGAGACAAGATACTACATTGCGGCTCATCGCCATTGTCTTCCAAGATGGCAGTGCCATTATCATTCACGTGATGTATTATAGGAAAAACAATGAGGAAAAGAATTTATCTTTAGCCCGGAGTGAAGTCCTTTTACCCGTGCGAGCCCATTCTCTACCTAATTCACTTTAAGCCGAGACGTAATGAGCTCTGATCTAATCTAATTCCATCCAATCTTCCGCCGACTATATACCGTGGTATATCCCGCGGTTATATTACGGTTTTCTGATTACTCATCTATATAGATACTTTGTATGCACTTGGCTACTGAAACTACTCATCCTTCCTGATCTGAAAAGACGCGCTTGTCGATCGTGAGCTTATTCTTCGGAGTCATACGCTTCGGCTGATTTGAATCTCGCTCGTTCTAAAAACTCATTTCGATCGAGCATCCGAGATTTGTTCGAGGATGAAACATCAGGGACAATACACATCGGGGAGACTGCATCTTCGAGAAAATATCAAGACTCAAGATGAGGATAAAATATCAAGAATCTGTGGAGATATCTCAAATTGATATCCAATCATTTGTTTTATCGCATGGAAAAAAAAAAAAAAAAAAAAAAAAAAAATAACGAACTACTTCATTCTTACGATTAGAGTTCAAGAGAAAGAGTTATGATATTACGGTTTAAATACTGAGTTTGCACGATTCTGCTGAAAGATATATCTTTCGCCATTAAATCTCGAATATGCACATTGGAGTTAGTTTCAAACACTAAGCAAACACTTCTGCTGCTTCGAGACATATATCGACCGTTCCTGAGTGCATTTCTAACTCAACAACTTGCAGTGCACAAAGTGCACTGTGGATGCTCTACAGACCATTTTGCAGCATCCGAGAACAGCTACACTCTGACGTCATATCTCTCTCTCGAAACGATACCATTAACTTTTCTCAATATAGGTGATTGAGTTTATTAATTAAATTACAAATGGGTAAGAATGTTCTTGCGTTTCTATATACATTTTGCAAACCTTAAAAATACATTACATCCGATACGCATCCACGAGAGTTCAACAAAGTATAACAAAGAAAAAAATCAAATGCTCAGATATTTGATTGTATTTTTTTGTTGTTGTTGTAAAGTACAATTTCTTTCTCGTACTTTACTTATCGTTGAAGTTACGGTAGTAGTCAGAGGAGATCCACGTTGCTTGAAACACAGAAATCAATTCTTATTTACATACAATTAGATCGTTCTATTTCGTTGAATTTTAATCGCAATCGCGTTGTCATGCGGTTCTTCCCCAGAAATTGATGTTTTTACGGCCACATGCGATTCGAAAATCGATGATGACCTGCAGTTCTCTGGAACAAATTCCAAAAAGTAGTCATCCAAGCGCGCCACTTTTGTGAGTGTGCTCGTTGTTGTTCTTAGCGCGAATATATACGCATCAAATAACTTCACACATCGAGTAATCTTTTTAACCGAAACGAAGAGGGAAAAACGCACGATGTAGCGAGAAATGAAGAGACGCCGGGATACACCGAGGGTGGAAAAAAAAAAAAAAAATACTAGAAAGAGAAAGAAAAGTCTCGCATGTGAAAATGTTATTTGATCGACATTATCGAGAGCGAAATTTTATCGTGGTAAAATTTTTCGGTACAAAATCTGTCGAACATGTGCTGAAAATTATTGCGCATGCGAGCGCGTATTGGCGCACGACGAAAAGATATCGATATCCGCTATCTCGCAGCAGCGAATACGGCAACGGTGAATAGACAGAATCAAAAGCCTCGATATGTCAAGTGAAACACCATCGCTTTCTATTCCGTGGAATATTTCGATCGTCACGTACGTGTTTCACTGTCGCCATTTAGACGCATCTCCAGCGAGTACTGACTTTGAAATAATTGGAAAGTATAAAAGAGAATTGAATAGTTAAGTGAAACTCTGAACAATTATGTGGCAATCAAACATTTTATTGATAATATATTTCGATAAATTCTAAACATTTGCAAATGCTACAACTGTAAAGCTTTGTAATCTCTTGTTCGTGCGTTTGATAATAATTAGAGAGAGAGAGAGAGAGAGAGAGATTTCGAATAATCAGAAATTTCATTAATTCTCTGTTGGTTTATGTGATTTAGCTAAAAGCTAATTTATTAATTAAAAATAGTGTAAGTAAAATCATTTAAGTTCCAATATAAATTAAAACAGCTTAATTCTGTCTATCAACTGTGTGCATACGTTGCATAGTTTACTAAATCTTACATTTTTGCTTTAAGCAGAGAGAAGACTGAGAGCAGCCAGGCCCATAAGAGAATGTGTAATCACTTTTTTGCATTGTAAGCCAGCGCAATGTCCATGAATAGTGCACATTGGCAACTACGTAGCCATGTCCACGAACGACTTGTTAATGCGTGCGCTATGTCCAAACGTGGACATGACTTTATTCCGCGCTATGTTCACAGCGGTTCTGTTCTCACATTCTGACAAGTTGAGTTCACAGTTTGATCGGTTAGGTTCACATCCTGTTCCAATAGGTTTGTATATTTCAGTCGGTTAAAATCACATTTTGACCGGTTAGGTTCTTATCGTGACCGACCTAAATACGAAGCTAACCTAACCGATCAAAATGTAAACTTAACTGGCCAGAATGTGAGAACCTTACCGACCTAGGTATGAACCTAACCTAGCCTAACCTAACCGACCCAGATATGGATCTAACCGGTCAGTATATGAACCTGACCAGTCACTATATGAACCTAACCTAACCGATCAAGATGTGAACCTAATCGGCCAAACTGTGAACTCAATCTGTCAGAATCTGAACAGAATAAAATCGTACGCTGTTGACATAGCGCGGAATAGAACCACGTCCACGTTTGAACATAGCGCACTGACAAGTTCGTGCGCTGTCGTTCGTGGACATGGCTACGTAGTTGCCAATGTGCACCATTCATGGACATCGCGCTGGCTTATAATGCGGAAAAGCGATTCTCTTATGAGCCTGGCCGCTCTCAGTCTTCTCTCTGCTTTAAGCTACAAAAAATAGCACTGAAATCAATACATGTGTGTAATAAACACAAAAGCCACATATTAGTTGTATATTGCGCAAAATATATTTATTTACTAAAATAACAATTAAATTGTTATTGACTTGTTATTTAAATTTTAAATAACTACATTGTGTTGCGCAAAACCGGCGTTTTATTATTATTTATCTTTTTCTATTTGTTATGTCTTTTAAATATATTTATTATTTTATTAAAACAAATAATATATATATGTATATAAAATTCGTATGTGTTATCGCAGATCATAATGTAACGTCAATCATTCGAGATGTGTATTACGACCGTTTGAATACTCAATCAGCGAATTTTTCCCGTTACAGATACGCTGAGTCTGGGAGATCGAACGATAGATAACATGGACAGGCACGCGATTCAGGCCAGACCACGACAACAATTGCTGGATCATTCTTCCGGCCTGAAGTCGAAACCGGAACCCACCTTCGACTTCTCGCAAAACACCAACGTGACGGCGCTGATCGGGAAAACTGCATACCTCACGTGCCGAGTTCGCCACCTGGGCGACAAGACTGTAAGAGCTTTTTCATATACAACACTATATAGTTTGTCACTTATAAATTATGAAGGAGCACGAAACAAAAGAGATATCATCTAATTATAACACTTTATCCGTTTAAAACTTCGCAATTGTGATTTATGACGATACTTAAGAAAGTTATAATCACAAAGGCCATTATAAATTATTATCGAATGTAAATCCCACGTGTTTAAGAGCGACCTCATCTATTGTTGCTATATTTAAGTTAAACTTATGAAAACATTTAGGCCAAAGATTAGCAGTCTCTTTTCCCCCCCTCTCTCTCTCTCTCTCTCTCTCTGTCTCTCTCTCTCTCACTTCTCTTTCACAAAGGCAAAAGAGGAACCCGGTTCCCCGTAAACATCTTAGGAGAAGCGATTTGCAGGAAATAATCGAGTTGCGCGAGGTCGATTGGACGTTAATTGACCTTAGAGGTAACTGGAAACTCAATTTTATTGCAGACGCAATACTATCACGATCTCTATTGAAAGTAATGATCAGAGCTGTTAGCCAACCGAATTGCGCAGATCATTATCGATGTAATCTTTCACAAACACACACGCGCGCACATTTGTATTCTTTAGAATGTACTCGATTTTTTTCATCTACTCGCTCAGTTATTTCAAATAAATACGCCTGTTGAATATCGCATAACAATGATCTGTATTCAGATCTCGACGCAGTATTTTTTTTGCGATAAAAATCACGGATTCAGTTACTCGCTGCTAACGATGACAATAAAAATCCTCGTAACATCCTGGTAATTTAATATTGATGACAGACTTTGACAAAGCGAAGATCGGAAAGAGATCGCGAGCGAAAATGTTCTCTCGCAAACTCGACTGTTACGTGAAGTATTGCAAATCCGCTCGACTCTTCTCTGAAATTGCATTGTTTACGACATGGTAACGGAATAATTAAAATAGTTAGAAGATTTAATTGAAACGGTATTTTAACATCTGTGTGAGAACGAGAGAACGTCGGACGCGATATTATTTATATATGAAGAAAAGAAAAAAAATTGTCTTTGCGCTCTTTCCTTTCAGTTGTTTCGCGACGCGTCGCGTCGTGTGATAATTGCGTTTAATAATAGATCGGGGTCGAAAATTTTTCCGCATTTCTGGTTGCTTTCTCACAAAGCAATTTAATTATTCCTGCGCTAGTGGGTAAGCTATTTCACGCGAAAGCCGATTTACGAGTTATAGTAGTTACCCGAGGCTTGTTGTAAAGCCAATAAGTAAGCGCTACTTAAATAAAGTACATGCAAAGTATATTGAATCATTAATATATCCTTATCAATATCTTTGTTAATATCTTTATCAATATCTCAGAGATATGCATCAAAGTTTTTGCATTTTGTTATTTTTACTAAATAAAATATTATTGGTTTATAAGCACACTGTCTTAATAATGTAAAATCTCAAAAAAAATTTATCTCAATTATTTTTCACATAATTTTTCAAATATATCTATTAATTTATGCAAACAAATACAGAGCTAATTTAATTATTATACATGTATTACCAACCTTCAGCTTTAAAATTAGATACATTAAAATTATCAAATTTTATAATTTGCATGTTAATAAACAAAATATTTTATATTGTACCACATAATTTAATTAATTGTTGAAAGGCGAGTTTCGAATATTTTGAAAACTACAAATGCCAAAAAATCATCTTCATTTATCGTCAATGAAATTAAATTCCGGCATACATATACTTGATGCGATATCAAAGAGAAGAGCTTTTAATCGTGTTTCATGACACAAGCGCTCGTCTGATTAGCGCGATAGCGGGATTAATGTGAAAAAAATAATACCAAATTCCGCACAATGCCAATCGCGTATAAATATTAAAAAAAAAAGGTGAAGAGGCAAAATATTGCAAAAAAAAATAATATTTGCGAAATAAAAAGCAATAGAGGCGATATTATATTTAGAAAATGATCGAACACTATTTATATTTTGCATTCATTGTAATACTTGAACTGATTGAGAGAATTTGCAATAATTTCGCGCGCTTTACGATGTTTCGCGCTCAAAATGTGTTAACCCGCTTATAATATTATTCCGATTATTACTCAGATCTGCAAACAACGTGACTATATGTTACTTTTTTATTATTTTGCATTGACCAACTATTTGTATTTTTTATTCACCTTCGAAACAGTATTTTAACTTTGTTATTTTATTTCGACAAATTAATTCAATACCGTTATTAAATAACTCAATAACATTCCGAATAAAAGCGAAGGGCATTTCTGGTTTCATCGAGACTGAAAGTGCATCCTGACGTGCGTGTCACCGAACGTCTCTCTCGACGTGCATTACCAATCATCTCGCTGACATCTCGCAGCAATCCGGTCGGTGGTGGTTTAACACTTGCATGACAAGTAAAACTATATTTTACAACTAAAGCTGTAAATAATGCAGAAGAGTAGTAGCAGGAAAATCATCAACTAACAGGATCAATATACCGGTGTGCGCCCGGCAACCAGAGGGAGAACTCGAGTGAAAAAGGGATGCTTGCGAAAACAGAGCAGTGAAATATGAAGTTTATTCGTGTGCGCGTATGTGTGTATGTGTACAATGCGGTTTCGATAAAGCGGCACTAATACTACAGCAGCCACCCTTCTCTCTTTCTTTGTTATTAAAAATATAAAAATCTTGTAACACACACGTTGATTTTTACGCAGCATTATGTTCCATAATGATTGCTAATAATTACCAGAAGAATTAATAAGCCGAGAAGAGAGAGAGAGAGAGAGAGAGAGAGAGAGAGAGAGAGAGAGAGAGATATTACACATTTTAGTAATATCGGAATCGCGCGTTCGATCTAAGATTATATTCAAACGTGATACTTAGTAATTTTAAACAATGATATATTAATATACAGCAGATATAATATTAATTTGCTATCGAGGTTTACGATCGAAAGAGTTTCGTAATTTGCAACCTTCAGCGGCGGTGATATGAGCATCGCTCTCAAACTTACTTTGCAGACAATATGAGAAACCATTTGCCACATTTCTGTTATGTGTCTGCGCTAGTTCCACTTAACGTTCGACATTCATCATTGCCGACGTCTTCTTGTAGCTCTCTCCGACTCGGCGGGCGCGGCGCGCGCTCGCGCCATTCCGCTTCATCCCTCGCGTCCGCGAGTCGCCCCATTCGTCCCGATGGATAAGTTAGGAAGCGCTAAACTGCTTTTGTTTCCGTGCAATAGCTACCAGACGCCGCGAGAGACGGCGCAAACTTCGTCGAGTAAATACGCTAAGTGGTGCCAACGGCGGCGGCACATATGCAGACACATGTGCGTTGTATGTGCACCGACATAGTTCCAACCGCTCGGTTTATATACGAGGTCGGATTCCGTGAAAATATCGACGAGAACACAGCCATTCTCTCTCTGTCTTTCTCTCTCTCTCTCTCTCTCTCTTACTCTTCTCCCTTAAACACCACACACTCCCGGAGAGTTAAAATATTCCTCATTGGGGACGTGCGCTTCACAACGCGTTAATACGCGTCGAACTTAGCGTTACCGCGAATTCCAATGTTACGGGTTTTGCTCGTTACCTCCGCGATAGCTTTCGAAAACGAATGGCTGACAAACGGTAAACGATAAATCATTTCGACGCTGGTATTTTCCGCGAACGATTCTTCACGCAGACTCTGTCTGTTTCCCTATTCCAGTGTATAATTTAAAGGAATAATTGCAAAAAATCGTAAAAAAAAATAGTATATATTCCGGCTAAGAAATTAAACCTACAGATCTCTCTGTTTTTTCCGGCCACTTTCTTTAAAGAGTTTTTTTTTATTTGGAGACCGTGCAAATTCTGCATTCATAAAAATTTTTAAATTCAGGATGCGAACCGGCATTTAAGCAATAATTTTTTCGAATTGCTTTAATTCAAATTAAATTTATATAAAAAAAAATATGTACTCGAAAACATCATTCCGCGTTAACTTTTGACGATTTCGTTCTTTAAGAATAAATTAGTTTGCTCCGTTACACAAACGCGACGCGTTTTCAAATAAAAAGTTTGGATCAAAGAGACGCGGAGCTTTTTTGAAAGATAATATTTCTGAAGAATTCCGGAAGAGTTTCGGATATAAGGAAAGGATGTTGAGGTCGCTCTGTTGTTATATACGGAATCTTTTTACTTTCCGTTCGAAGGCTTCCTCCGAAAATCGCCAAGACTCGAATCTAAAGTCTCGCATCGACACCATCGGGGTTCGTGGGAATCTGGTTTGCGTGCATCGGCGAAGGAAGCGCCCGAAACTCCCCCGGGAAAAGTTTCTGTATTCCTTCGCAACTTTTCTTACTGCTTCGACACGGGTCGGTGATTTTCGGCGTTCCACGAGCACGGAAATAGACAGATCCTCTCGTTCGGGTCCTTCCGTTTCGGAATCGCGGTAAAGTTGGCCCAGGTAACTGTACGAGAAGCGCTTCATGACGCCAGACCCCCCGACATAGTGCGCGGGAAGCGAGCTCGAAGTTATCGAGATAAGCTCCCCATTCCGATGAGTATATTTTTCCGACGTCGGTCGCTCTTCTGTTCAAGAAATGTTGTAAGATAAAGTATAAAATTGTGTCGAAGCGCGGAAATAAAATTTCACTAGCGCGAGAGCTTTGTTTCTATATGTTGCTGCTGTATTGTTATTTGAGAAATAACTAAACTATATTTTATATTTTGAAATAACGAGAATCTTTCTAGTGAATGAAAGAGAGAGAGAGAGAGAGAGAGAGAGAGAGAGAGAGAGAGAGAGATTCTGTCTTTATAAACAAATTAAAATTTATGATTGAATAGTTTTTCAAATTTAGTCTTTTCTTCATCAGTGTAGATATTTTAAGGCGTGTATTATTTTATTTATGACCTTTTCTCTATTTTCTTGATTGCGAAGGTATCTTGGGTCAGACACAGAGACATTCACATCTTGACGGCGGGAGCGTATACGTACACGAGCGATCAGCGATTTCAAGCACTGCCCAAACAACCCATAGGCCACAACAGCGAGTGGTCCGAGTGGACCCTCTGCATAAAGTGGGCGCAGGAACGAGATCAGGGGATCTACGAATGTCAGATTTCCACCATACCCGTCAAATCGCATCAGTTTCGCTTGAACGTCGTTGGTAAGCCGCGCATTTATTTCGCTTATCTTCTTCGATCTCTCACATAAAGAATAATACATAAACAAAAGTAACCGGCGGATTTTTGAAAAAGGAAGAATACACTTGTGACGACTAAGACGCACTTGGCAATGGTCGCGCTCATTATTTCAATTACATCGACCCGCTTTCCTCCGCCTGAAGTTTGTTAAAAAGCCTCACCTCGTTACTCTACACGGATCACGAGGCGGCTTTAAAGATTCCTCGTTCCCCTCGTTCGCTAAGTACCATTTCCAAGAGGCTTTCACGCGAAGAGCTTTCACGACGCACGGATCTCCGAATGAAATCCGGAGCGGGGGTGGGACGAGCGCGCGGGAGGGGTGCGAGGAAGATCGAGAAATGAGGGTCGGAAGAAGACAGCGGGGAGAGGGAATAGGTGAAAGAGAAAATTTTTCTTTATATTGCAGTACCGACGGCGACGATACTGGGCGGACCCGAGCTTTACGTCGGTGCAGGGAGCACGATAAACCTGACGTGCGCCATACACTTCAGTTCGGAACCGCCAGCCTACATCTTCTGGTACTACAATAAGAACGTCCTGAGCTACGACAGTCCCAGGGGCGGCGTCTCGGTGATAACCGAGAAAGGTAGCGACGTCACCACCTCTTGGCTTCTTATTCAGACGGCGCAACCCTCGGACTCCGGGGAGTACAGCTGCAAGCCCAGCAACGCCAATATGGCGTCCATCAGGGTTCATGTCTTAAATGGTGAGTCTTTGCGAACTCTCTCGTCGGTGATGTTTAACAAGCGACGCAAAGCGAAGGCGTTGTGCGCGCAGAAAGCCCGGTCATACTTTCAAACGAATAGTTTAAATAAAACTTCTCATGCCGTTAAGAGATAGTTACTTACTTCTCGTTAAAAGAGAGTTACTTACTCGGAAGTAGAAACTTTTGTCTTTGTTTCTTACTTCTTTGTTTGTCTTTTATTATTATTATTTTTTTTTTGTCCTATCTTTATTAGAAATATTTGCCACACTATAACACACAGTTTGACTCATTTCGAAATTAAGATAATTCTCTTCCACATGATGTGGTGGACCGTCGCGTCGCTTCGAAGCGCACGAACGAAGGGCGCCGGAATTCTGGAATCGACCGGGCATTCCGTTAGTCGCAATTTCCGCTCCACAAATTTCGAAAGCGTACGGAGCTGTCGTCGAAGGGGGAGCCTTGCTTTACAGCGTGCAAAATTATTTTATTGGCCACACCGCGCCGCGCTGCGATTCTAGGCGTTAACTATTTACAACCGACTCGTAAACTCGAGGCGTTTCGCGACAACCACGGTCGTTAAAACTACCACCCGAGGCTGATATGAATCGAAAAAGTTTCGCGCTTTACAGGAAACCTTCGCACCGCGACATTTCATTCCGCGTTATCCGCAAATGCGCGATAAAATTGGTAAACGGCGGATGATAGTAACATCGAGATATGGAGAAACACGATCAAGTTTTTTGCGCGTGCTTTACACAAAACGAAAAACTATATATATATATGTATTTTCTTATCATAAAGCCTCACGTATCTATATACCGGCAGCTAGGGAGAAGATTGGTCTGATGCACACTCGCAGCTGTCTCTTCTCAGCTTTTGGGAAGCGCGACGGAATTTGCCGCGGCTTCTCATCAACTCTTGGCAATTATGCAGTCGTAAAGTTCGCGCATATATATATATATATATATATATGTATATATATATATATACACACATATATGTATGCGCGAGCACACACTCACACGTGAACACGAATGAATATACAACGCGTCAGATTCACATAATAAGGCCCTTCGTCAGCGCGACGAACAAACTTAGTGAATGCTTCGATGAAGCGACTTGGATAATTTATTAATGAAGCGTGTGCGGAAGACATTGAGTTATGCTCGTTATCTTGATTTGTTTTTCGCGACACAACACGTCGCGCAAATCAATGTAGAATATGTGATATAATACCATTGTTGATTTGTAGTCGCGTTTCGACGTTTATACGCATAAAATAAATTTTGACACACAAATTATCCGAAATGCGATATTTTGCGAAAAATAATGATATAAATAATATTTTCTTTTCGTATATTTTACTCTTTACGTAGTATCTCATAGTTTTGTTCGGAGTTTATGTGTCAAGTGCATTCGCGATGCAATTTACAAGTACCAAATATCGATTGACACGCGTATACATACGAAAGCAACGAAAGAAAGTGCAAATCGCGCGCGACGACAAGAATAAACTCTTAAGTATAACGCGCTCTTAAAATTTTACCGTTGAAATCCCGACCCGCTCGTGGAATACGACATCTTAAAAGCTCGCAGAAATTTACAGCCGCTCGATTGATACGGCTTGAACGGGGCGGAAATTACTCTTCGATTCGCACACACGCGTACAGAGAGAGCGGCGCGCGTTTCCGTGCGCTTCGCTGGCGCGACCGATATTCCAAACGTCGAAAGAAATATATATAGGTTTCCCGACCTCGCTCAAACTTCGCCATTAGCCCGCGTAGCCGTACAATAATTCCTCCGAGTTCCGGTTACAATGCGTTAAAAACAATTTCGGAAAGTTTGTCTTCGCGGCCCCGTTCCGACGTCGCGTCGTCGTCGTCGTCGTCGTTGTCGTCGTCGTCGGAAGGAATGTCTTTCCGAAATTTCCTGCGTTCGCGATAAGAAATGCGGACAGCAAGCGAACGAAAGTTTCGCGTGGACGCAAAACTTGGATAAAATTTACGACAGACCGAGTCGCGGAAAATTCCACGGGACAGAAGGCACGGAGAGGTAGGTGTGCGATATGCGGCGTTCGGAAATTTTACTTTGATTCGCTTTACGAACAGTGACCAATATCCGATAGAACGTCGGATCGAGAGGACGAGCCTAATATGCCGTTCGCGGCCCCGACCCTCCGGAAACTTTTACAATAGGAAAAATCGCGGCCGATCGACATTCCCAGCGCGCGGCGGTCCGGCAAATTGCGCGTCAGAAAGCGAGATCATTTATTCGTGTGTATTTATATTGCTCGCACAGTTGATATTCATTAAAAAGTTCGTACAGAAACACGTTCCGCGACGCAAAACGAGCGCGCGCGCGCGAGCGAATGTATGATTCAATTAATTTCAGCAACGCACACCGGCAGCGCAAAAGTGAACTTTCCTCCGTGATCACGCGTCACTATTATTTCAATAACTTTCTATATGAAAATATCCGTGACACCGCCGAAGCTGCATAGTAAGCTCTCGTTAGATCATCCGCCGGCAACTTCGGCTGCTTTCAACCTCCTGTTTTTTTGCCCTTGCATTTTGCGTGAAACAGAGTATATTCGTTGAATGGGACTTGATAGATTGATGGATGGTTTATTTATTCTCTAGTGTAAATCTCTCGAAGAACTTGTTGTTATATATAACGGGTTTTACCACGTATCACAAGAGCGACGTAATGAAAATACATAGCCACATCAGCTTGAGTTGGAAAGACAACGTATCGCGATTAAAAATTTTGTGAGAGAACAAAAAGATACTATGTGTCTATTTATTTATATCTCTTAAAATATATAAGTATGTTTATTAATAAGTATGTTTATACATGTATAATATTGTATAGGTGAGAGAGAATGGTTTGATAAGTTTTAAATTTCTACAAAATGGTGTCGCAATTTATTCAATTATATGACGTCTGGAAAGTTCCATTTTTCTCAAATCCTTTCAGGCCAAATTTCAGAAGTGACGCGTTGTTCACGTTCGATAGTCGTTTAAAGCGAGCGATTCAGCAGTTGTTATAAAAGTGAGAAAAAAACGGCAAAAAAAAAAAAGACAAAAATGGCAGATTTTCAAATTTGGAAACAGAAAGAAGTTGCACGAGGTCAAATCCGAAGAATAGGATGGATGAGAAATCAATTCGAAGTCTAATTCGTGTGATTTGGCCATTTTTTGTCGTTTTTTTTTTTTTTTTTTTTTTAACAACTGCCAAATCGCTCGCTTCGAACGACCGAATGTGAACAACGCGTTACTTCTAGCTGAAAGCTTTGGCCTGAAAGGGTTTAAGAAGTGAAACTTTCCAGGCTTATACAATTAATAAATTGTAGCACTATCTCTCCTCTAGAGATTTATCAAACTTATCAAATCACTTACGTAAAACTGGCAAATGTAAGAGAATTGCGAAACAACGAAATTAATACACTAATTTTATTGCGGAAGAATAAATTGAATACACAGCTCGTTATAATCAAAATTACATCCGACTCCGGTTGCGGTCGTATCTCGACACTTCTTCTCCGCATCTCACAAACAAAACAGAAGCAAACCTCGCTGTCGCTTGTTAACATAAAGCAATGAGCAATTTTCAACATTTCGTTGCTAGACAAATTTCAAATTAATTAAGTACAGTCAAATACACACATTTACACAAGATGTAAAAAAAATTTATAACATCTGTACGTAAAATAGAGAGTCATTAAATGAAATAAAATATATTTATGCGTTACAGGCGAGCGACCGGAAGCGATGCAAACCGGGACCGCGGGGCCGATACTGTCCTCGAGTTGTCTATTGGTGTCCCTCATCATTTTGTACATATCTTCGGTGTAAACAAAAAAAAAAACAGAAACGGCGCCAGAGTTCACATCCGTTGCGGTATGTTCCTCTTCTTGTGTCTACACGAATGCGTTTTCACGTTTCCCACACGGGATGCGATCGTGGGGGCGACTACGAGTTTCTACAAAAAAAACAATTCAAAACTGATCAAGACAGTGCGTGTGTTTTAAGTTAACATACTGCAACGTAATTCACGATGATTTTATGAGGAAAAGAAAAAAAAACAACCAAAAAACTGCCAAGTAGGGAAAACTAGCGTTTCTTCTATATTGAAAGCAGCAGAGCTTTCAATTATTATATATAGCTCCTTACGAAAGCATCGTGAATTACGTTTTGTTAGGTGTCAGATTACAAAAAGAGAGACAGAGCTGAGAGTGTGCGAAAATGTAGCGAACGTGTGCGAATTTATAAACCGCTCACAGAGAATACAAAAGTCCTTCAAATCTATTTCTTCTCAACGGACGATGATGTCGCCTGAATTAACTTGGTTTCTTCCTCTGCGAAGGGAAACGCATTCTTTTGTGCGCCACTAGTAATCAACGTGTACCAAGAAAATAAAGACGAAAAAACTGGAGAGTGTGTGTGCTTTCGTCGTCGTCGTTGTCGTCGTCGCACGCGCGATGGAATCGTGCGCGCTACCGATGTGAACGCAGTCATGAGAGAGAGAGAGAGAGAGAGAGAGAGAGAGAGAGAGAGAGAGAGGAGAGAGAGAGAGAATGTCTTTCAGCGGAGAGACATTTAGTTAAGCAAACGTCAATGCTAATGCCGGAAGCGCGGGCGCTTCGTGGTAAATCTGGTGTAGGGAAGAACCCGTCTTATACAAACGGGACGGAGGGGAAACGCCCCCTCGCGAAAGGAGGGACGAAAGGGTTGGGCCCCCTCTCGATAATCCAGGTAATCCCCATCGAGAGAAACCGATTTACGAGAAGCGTAAAGGCGAGGAGCGATTGCCTTACGTTTCCACGAGCGGTCGAATCTAGGAAATGCAAGCTACGTGGATGGGATTCAATGGAAAATAAAACGTGACCGGAGTGCTCAATCTGGCAATTTTTCGTATTTCATAAAATTGCCACGCGATAATCGGCTACGTACGTACGTACTCGCCGATCGCCGTCTTTGGTGTTCTGGCGACGAAGAAATTTTATCGCGCGCTTTGCCGATTCGACACAGGCCGTTCTTCGAGTAATTAGTTTAGAGTTTTTTTCTTTTTTTTTTTTTTTATCACACACGAGTTTGTTCGAGTTAATTTTCAACATTCTCGTTTTAGAGAATTATTACACATTTCGCAATTGTGTGTCGATAAAATCTCATTTGGCACACTTCTGAATGATGTTTACTGATTATGACAGACGCATTTCTCTCGCTCGCATCATGGAAAACGCATCTAATTTGCGCTCGCGCGCTTCATTATTGAATTGACGGAGCGGAGAATTAAATGCAATCGGCGTGAATTCAGCTCAAGTAGTTTATTGTCACGCATTTCGATTATGTCCTAATTTTCAATTGTCCTCGATTAGCCATTTATTAATGCGCAACGGTGAGCAACACGCAGTTAAATCACTCGACAATCGTCAATCTTTGCTTTTGTTGTTTTAATGATCATGCTTTCAAGTGTACAAAGATTACATTGCACAAAATGCAAGAGGTATTAAGAAGGATGGAGTTAATACGTTTTGACTCTTCGATGAAAATTGAAAGCCAAACGCAAAACTGCAACATTGAAAAGACCTCTTCGATACAATGCGCCAGAAATAATTGGACGTGGTTTTACCGGTGCTACGTACGATCAGACGTCAGTGGAAAGCAATTAGCGAATGTACGTAGTAAATAAATGCTACATACGCGCGCGCGTAAAAGTTAATCTTATGATCGCAAAATAAACGGGAATAAAATGGCTGAATAATTGAGCGGGAGTCTACCCGCGCGCACGGCAATTGAATATAATAATCGCCAACGTTTATTGCGAACCACGCATAAATAAACATTTTATCAATGAAAACGCGATGGCAAAAGCGCGATTTAAATTTCGACTCGATGGATTGACCATTTGTTAGCTTCGAGAAATTGTGCGCAATCATTACAAATTTTTGTTTCTATTCTGCAGTTAGTTGCGTCGGTTGTTTATACACTCAATGATTGTTATATCTCGTTACGTTCCCCATTGTGTGTAAATACAACACAAAACAATAAAAACATTTCGCCCTCTGTTCCAATTGATAAAAGCACGCAATTTTGACGAAAAGTTTTAATTTGTAATGTTTTTCTAAGTTACAAACGCGAAATTAAATACTAATTTTGTAAACAATACGTAATACTTTAATTATTTCCTTTTTTTTTCTAATAATTATTCTGTCCGTCAAACAATGCGAAATTTTGATGTTACGTTGAACGTAACAGCATTTTTTGGAACTATGGTTAATTTAATTCCACCACGCTTGAAACTTCGCCGTGTGCACAGCGTGTTCTAATTAAACTCACTAATAATACGCGAGAGGAAGATCGTAACAGGATCTCCTCTGAGATCGACAGTATCGGGGTACGGTATCAATGCGACGTTATCTCTCGGTGTAGTTTCAGCGAGTGCGCTGGTTCGTCGCCGGTAAGCCAGAAGTAATTGATCAAACGTCGAGCACTCCCGTCATCGTTTGTCCCGACATCGTCGCCGTAACGATTGCATCGCCATGGCACAAACGGAAGGAAAGGCCGAGAGACAGGGTAATACGCATATGAGGTAAACACGAGAGGTGAGATTGAGAAAGACGGAAAGACGGAACGTCAGAGAGTCACACTACATGCGTGAGTGTATATATGTATATATATGTGTACGCATGTAGTGTGACTCTATATATATATATATATATATATATATATATATATATATATACACACACTAACGGAACACGGCGCGCGTGTGTTAACGCGGTTGCGGAACACATGTTAAATTCTCGTGACTCTTGTGATGCCGCGCGCGTACGAACGTCACATTGAGCGCACACCGACACGTGCCTCGAGCACATATTTTGTATGTATCTACGTACGAATTAAACCAATTAGCGATCTCTAATCAGCAATGCGACGAACGCGTCGGATCGGTTCCCGCGCCCAACAAGCGATTCACGTCCGCGCCGGCATCAGCATCGACGTATTCTAACGCAAACTTTGTACATAATGTCTGTATTATAACTTGTGCGACAACATCCACATTCACACGCCTTGCGCGCTTTCCGGCGCGAGATGATCCTCTCTTCCAGCTCCCGTACGCGTCCGAAACGATTGCGAGCTTCGAGTGAGACGCGAAGGAATTATTCATTCGCTCCAATTGCAAACGAGAGAGAGAGAGAGAGAGAGAGGGGGGGAGAGGGAGAGATAATTTTACTTTTTATTTGTGTGTGACATTCTGTCGGATGGCATCGACGAGCGACGATAAGTCTCTGAAATCGTCGCTTCCCCGTCAATGCGATCGGACAGTATCGAAAGTACCGCTCGGGTCGTTCGCGCTCGACGAGAAACGAATTCGCTCGCATCTTCGCGCTTCCTACGCGACTCCGGCGTGGAGATGGATGTTCACCTGATTCAGTAGAGACTTTCATCGGCAACACGGATGATCATTTGTTAGAAGTGAGTAACGCGACAAGTCGAGAGAAACGAAGATGAGAAAGAGAACTATTAGTTATCCATGATTATTCATGATTATTCATAATTTCAGAAGAGTATAAAATTTTAAAAAAATTTTAAATTTTCTTTCTCTCATATTATCTCATTCGTATACTCTTATGACAATACATATATCAGACTTAAAAGAAACGTGCAAAAATATGGAGCAAAGAGCTTGTAAAGTGGATCACGTCGGTATCGTTGCCTTGTGTGACTGCAGAAAGGGCATATAATTCCGAAAGAGAGCGCGGATAAGAAAGATAATATTTCGGAAGTTCTCTCGTGGGACGAACTTGCTAGAGTCACGCTTACACGTGTGTGTGTGGTTGGTTCGGCCGCGAAATATACGGCCTTCGAAGACAATGAGAAGTCGGGCGAAAAATAATTGCGCGGGCGGGTACCGAGAGAGCGTCGTGGCCGAAACAAAAGTTTTGCAGGCATTTTTCTTCCTTTTCGGCGGAAACTGGGTGTAAGAGATAGGAAGCGCGCCGTTGAGTCGCGGAACCGAGTCCGCAATGCGTGCCGCATCGATTTTCCCGTTACCGGGCGGATGTTTGGGAGGCGTATCGATAGCCCTGGTTATTCCGCTTGAATACAGAACGCTTCTCCCCCCTCCCCTCTTCTCCCAAATGTGTGCTGCTAATAGAAATTCTTTAATCAAACTTCCGGTCGATGTTCTTCAAATACAAAGACTCGATATACAAATTAGAAGTAATTAAATTTCTTAATACAATAGAGAAAATAATTAAAAAAATTTAATATTCTTCGTTTTAATCTCACACGGTTATAACGTTGCAGTATTGGCGTTTCTGTGATTAGCAAATCGATACCATGGATAATCTGAAAATGAAATAAACGCGTTATTCACCGAATATTGATTTGCGTTTGCACGAATCAGAATACGATAAATAGCGTTTCCTCTGTCTGAAATTAATACAACACTATTACAGTTTACGCGCGCTCTGATCCTAATACAATTCACTGTTATATTCGCCAGTATTCCTATTTGAATCAACCTTCGGCAAGAGTAGATAATCTTTTACAATTGCTTTTCACGGAAGATAAGTGATCCGATATACGCAGTAGATAAAATAATTAATAATTTGTTACAATTTTATACATATATATATATATAAATATATATGTGTGCATTTGATTTTTATAATAATTGAGATTGAGACTATTTTTTACATCTTAACTTATATACATATTTTGTGATTATTGCTTATAAAATAAATTAAAATAAATTGTAGAATTAAACGTAAACAAATTGGCTGTGATTTAGTGAGGGTATAAAAAATAAAAAAAATATATTTCTATTCTATTAAAAAATTTGTGATAATTTATATACATTTATATAAGATTATTTATTTTTAACAAATACTTTAGTTGTAAAATTAAAACTATCGGTTTTGTATAATCAAAGAAATTATTTTAAATCTAACAATCGGTTCGTGTTCTCGATGATTTTGATTGCGACACTGTCTGCGTTCTTGAGAAGGAAGTCTGCAGTCAGACTTTCTTCCCCCCAATATAACTTAGAAAACAATTGAACAAATTTCTTTAATGCTTCGATTAGCCGATGTGAATCGAGGCAAATCGCAAGTCAAACATTATTTCGCGCAAACTATTACGCAGCATTCATCATCTTCTGAATATAACGCGGATACAATTATTGTCCGATCTACGGGGGATAAAATCGCCGACAATTGCAACCGCGCCAAAATCAAATCGGCTCTCCGCGTCTCCCTCTCTTCTTTCGCCTAGTATTATTTCCTAATAATATGAATTATCGAATAAAACGCTCGTTTTATTACGCGACGTGTATACACGCGAGCGAAAATCTCACCGGAGCGAAATGTCGTGATCGAATATCGTACCAGGCATCGCGTGGCTTCGCGCAAAACCGTTCTATATCGTGGAAACGGAAGGGATTTAAGCGTCACGTTGCCAGCTGTCAAGAAGCATCGCATAATAATTTTGATGCAAGCGCTTTTTTTTGTCAATCTTATTTTACAGACATCTGAGATGTTTCGATGAGACAATTTCTTGAACCAATTTTCGTCGGAATTTAAATTTGAGACGAAAGGTGTTTTTTCTTTTTCTATTTTGAGATTGTTTTTGATTGGTTTTGTTAACGGGGAAAGTCGATTTCAGATCGACCGAGAGAATCTAAATGAAAAAGACATCCAACGGTTTTAGGACGCCTTATTCTATAGTGCATAAAATAGAATCGGACACACGTACCGAATTCACGGTTCCACGAACCGCGAAATGAGGTAAACGCGGCACGTTGCTCGAACTGTGTGGGAAAGATGAAACGAATTCGAATTTTGTTCATTCCACGTGGCCGGCCGAGTCGAGAATTGAATTCCAGGCGCGAACGGAATCCAATTCGAAGTCCGTGGTAGTCCGCGAGCCCTCTCCTATATCCTGATCCTGATCTCCGAACTTCACGGGAAAACTTTACGCGTAGTCAATGCTATCGTTTTCCTGTCTGTGTCTTCACTTCCGAACTACCTTGTCCCCTTGTCGCTGATAACGTGCAATTTTTTCTTTTCTTTTCCGTAAGTACCGAATGATATATTTTCTTTTTTTTTTCTGAAAATTCTGGAAGCACTTGAAAAACCCGCAGTCATCCGCTCCAGTATTTTCATAGCCAGCAATTTGTACATAAAATATATTCGGGGAGAAAATGTGTCGCGCGGATTTGCGGAGTTACACAAAATGTGATCATTTTTCACGGGGCATAATCAGGGGGATTTTGTCGATAAGCTTCGCTTCTCTCTCTCTCTCTCTCTCTCTCTCTCTTTTCCTCTCCCTTTTTCTGTCTCTTCTTCTCTCTCGACTCGTTCACAATCGCGACTATGCCTAATTTATGCGCCGCGCACATTTTATCACGACTACGAAGAACGGAAATACGCACGCGGATAATTTCGCAGCAACGAGTGGGATGATAAGCGCCAGGAGATGCTAATCGTTAACTAAATGGTGAATTAATTGTTAACGAGAGAGAAGAAAGAGAGTGCGCGATCCGAACGGACAAGTGCGATACGGACTGAAAACTCGATAAAAGCCGTAGATTCTAATCGACGATTTTGCTAAGCGCAAGCATAAAAGATAAGAAGAAACACAGGTGAGACACAAAAAAGAAAATCCGTAATCCGCAGTGATATCGTTAGATTAGATAGGTATATTATTGTAAATACTATGATATTACGATGTTTACTAAATAAAAGTGTTGAAAGGAAAAGAGAAAAGTGACCAGAGCTCTTTTCGGACGGAGAATTGTAGAGCCGCATGTACATATAAAAAAAAAAAAACGTATCCTAAGAAAAAACCAAAATAAATGCTCCCTCTGATAAGTCTCCGTTATTGATAAAAAAAAAAAGTACAAGTATGAAAAAATATACAACGTGTTATTAATATTTTTATGTTTTTTCCACACTACTCGCTATATTTCAAATGTCTTTGAAATTTACTCTCTCTCGCATGCATAAATATACGATAAAGAGACGAAAGAAGTTCGTTACAAAAGTGACGTCGTAACACCTTTAGACGATCGTTTGAGGACTTCCTTTGTTACAATCGCCACCTTTGAAGACATCTCGACGCAGTCGTCGAAACGACCGGATTCTCCAAGAAATCCTTTTGCTTCTTCAGAAGACCCGCGTCTTCTTCTTTATACCGACAGCCGTAAGTCTTTTATTAGGACAGCTCCTTTCGTCAGCGATAAGTAACTAACGAGCTTCAAAAGAACACCGTCGAACGCGACATTTCTAACGCTCTTTTGCCACGTAAAAACATTCAAAATACAGGATGGCGAATTACAGCTGTTTTTTAAAGTAAATAAAGAACGTTAAACTCCGGTTAAAAAACTCACCCGCATCTTATTTTAGAGAGAGCGCGAAATATAAATTGCGTGCGTACACCACAAAGAAGACTTTAACATTTCATAGCAATGATTATGTGTCTTCTTTATATCTCGAGAATATATACGTATCTTTTTCTCTTATATTAGCTTTACATTTGATGAGATTTTTCTCGGATTTTTAATTTAGTTCTTTCTCTTAAACGTGACTTTTTTTTTTTTTGTACGAGCAAACTGCGTTTTTTCTATCGGCACAGTCGTTGACTTT